ATTCATCCGAATTTGGTTTCCTTACCGGCAAAATAGGGGTGTTATACTCCAACTGACATTCCACTAACAGCCCGTGTTGTTGAAATGTATCTATTAGTTTTTCCAGCCCCCTCTTCACACCTTGTTCTATAGGACCTTGTTTCTGCCTTAGCGGTTTGACATTAGGTTTTGACGATGCTCTCACGGGTTCTGCCAATTTTGAATGTCCTGGGACACCCATAGCACATACCAAGGGAATAACTGTGTTTTCTGCCTCAGCCAGGATTTCTTCTTCTGATGGTTCAAGTGACTGTAACATAAAAACTTGGGCTTCCAGAGGCTTAGGTTCAGGTATGTGAACTTCTATTTTTCCTTCATCAAAATTTATTTGTGCTTCTAATTTGCTTAAAATGTCTCTTCCTAACAGGGGCATAGGACAGTCTGGACTATCATATATAAAAATTGATGCATTAACCAATTTTTTCCCCCCAATTTTAAATTTCAAACGTTGAAAGAATGGTCGATTTTGCCTTTCTCCAGTGGCACCAAGTACATTAATAATTTCCTTACTAAATTTTCCTTTTCATGTCTTTAAAACCGAATACATGGCTTCAGTATCTACTACGAAATCCATTTTCTCACTCCCCAGTGTTAATGTAACCAGAGGTTCAGCTGGAGATGACACCTCTGGTCCCTGTCACACATCTTCACATGTCAGGAGCCATCCTGCCTGATCGGGAGCCCTGGTGGAATCCAGGGTCCGGCAGCTCCTACCTGTCCCTTTCCCCACTGACATTCCCACTTCAGTGGCCCTTCTCTCGACAAATAGCACACTGATCCCTGTCCAACTGCCTGTGTTGGAGTCCACTTCTACTAATTACTCCTCTGCCTCTCCCCCTGCAGTGCCCCTGTTTTGGGGCTTTCTTCCACTAATGCAGCTACTTCCATGCTGCTTCCAAAAACTTACCCAAATTCCTCCCAACATATCCAATACTACCAGAATATCACTCCAGTCAGGGTCCTGGATTCAGATAATACCTTCAAATACCTTCACAGCTTTCCCTGGGTCTTCCCTATAAGTCCCTGCTAACTTTTTTAAGTAGCACTGGCTCGTTAGTTCCTATTGCTCACCTCAGCGGGGCTCGCAAAACAGCCCCGGAGTTCCAGCTTGTCTGGTAGCGCAGCACGGAAACAGCAGCACTGCCCCGGCCACCTGCCAGCCCAGGCACATGGCCAGGGCTGCTGTCAAAATGCGCCCCGGCACAGTTCGGTGAGGTGAGCAGCGGTACAGCAGCAGCGAAGGCAGAAAGTGGCCACTAACAGGCACTAGACTCTCATATACAGTCAGGCAAGTGAGTGCCGGGGAGAGCACAGGAGCCTGCTCGTTACCAGCTCAACAGCACTAACAGATCCTAATCGTGCCAAAAGGTGTGGTTTAACTCCAGCCAGCCCCAAGCACCACGCAGCTGCTCGCTCAGTCTCCCACCAGTGGAATCAGGGAAAGAATTGGAAGGGTACATGGAATTCATCCACCGCTTCCCACGGGCAGGCAAGTGTGCAGCCATCACCAGGGGAGCAGGGCCCCACCACGTGTAACAGTTACTTGGGAAGACAAACACCATCGCTCCAAACGTACCTCCAAGGTCCTTCTTCTGTATCCATTCTATCCCCTCTCCCAGGAGCGACCAGCACATCAACCCCCTCTTCCTCTGCACAACACTTCCCAATACCACAAGCCAAGCAGCATTGCTTAGATTCTTTTTTTCCTTGGTCTTTCTCTAAAGCCAAAATCATAGGACCACTTCGTAACGTATCACACTCTTTTTAATTTTTTCCTTTTTGTTTTTTTTTTCCATTCCAGATGATTAGACAGTGTGAAAACCAAATCCACATGCAACACCACATTCCATCTCCCTTCCCAACAACAAAACAACATCAATTGTAACATCGTATTGTAATTTAAAGGTCCATTCATTGGCCATTTTTCACCATCATCCAAAAGAGTACAAAGGCCACCAATTATTACCATATTCAATTCACACTGTTTCCTGGAGAGATAGCTTCCCATTGCACCTTCCCATCTCCCTTCAATGTTTCAAAATACAGCCTAGGGGGGATTTCTCCAAAACCTACTTTTGATGATAGACCAGAACCCATCACACAGAATATAATAAAACAATTAAACTTCCCTTTGAGAGGGGTGTGCAACACCCACTCACACACCTTAGAGCTTGAAACACAGGGCACCTCTGTAAGCTTGCCTACAAAATAGCCCTCATGGCTTCCAGCCTGTGGCAGTGGGACTTTGACCCACAAGGGGATTTTCACTATTTCACCGTTTTCACTATTTACAATTTTTAACCTTCCCCAGGGCTGGCACTCAAGGCCTCCCTGTAGATAGGGGAGCAAGCCCAAAACCTGGTTTCCAAACTCCCTTTACCTTAATCCAGTGAGACTTTCCAGCAGCTCTGTTATACCCCCCTCCAGTAATGCCTTAATAAATCCCAGCAGAACTTGCCTTGAACTCATCAGATCCTGGGACCAAGAGGATCTCCCTGAATAAAATCTTTGGTGTGCTCTGGAGTCCTCAGGGTCCTGGAATCTGTGCAGTGTCAATAGCATTGTCCCATCTGGGTCACCAGGAACCATCACCAAAAATGGGGAATAAAGCCCTCTAACACTCTTTGTAGCATTAGAAAGTGGCAATAATTTATTTTTGGTGCTGGGCACGCAGGGGATATCTCCTCCTATCACACACCCAGCTATGTAACATACTGATTTAGATCTCTTTAACTAATACATATTCATGACATTTCCCCAGATCATACATATATCCTAAACATTTTTACCAATTCTTTTACATATTTAAATCACTTTTCAAAACTCATTTACATTAGAGGAGGGGTCTCTTGAGGGTCTCCATGGTCTTTTGGGGAACATCCCATTCTGAAAGTTATTCTTTTTTGGTCACAGGCCTCCAAAAAAAGTCTCTTCTCCTTGAATACATCCCAGCTGTGTGGTCTGGCCAAGCCAGACCTTCTTATCAGTGTTGCTCAGGCCCACAGTCTTTGATCTCAGGGCAAAGACATTAATCACTGATATGGGTGATTACAGGACTAAGCACTGTCTGTTAAAGCTAAAGGAATTCACAATGCTTAAAAATTATGCGTTACAATTAAAGATTTTCCCAACATCACTGCAAACATCTAATACCTGCTGTTACAAGAGAGATACATTTATTAGCAATACTGCAGGTATCTAAGATTTGCAATTAGAAAACTTGAGAAATCAGTCAACTGCTGAATTTTTACTTTTGATTCCTGAGTGTTCTAGAAGGGCCACATTCAGATAGGACTGGTGCCTTTCTTGTTAACAAAGGATCCAAAGAAACTAAGAGCAAACAATCCTCTTGGCCTCATTGGCATTGTAGACTTCCCCTTTAGTTTGCAGCTGACCACGCATCATAAACAAATTTTGCTGCTACTGCATCTTCAACCGCCAGCCCTGAAAAAGAATTAAAGGCACCTTCAAACAGTTCTTCAGCTGTACCAACAACTTAGCTTCAGGAGGCAACAGAAGGACTCAGGAAATTATCTAAGTGGGCAGGAACAGCAATTATTCCCCATCCCAAACACCTACAGTGTTACATTCAAAGCCTATGGCCATCATGGAACTCTTGGGTGTGCCCTAGGACATTCATGGAACCTAAGTAGGAATCTCATTTTCAGTGCTCACATCACCGCCTGGCCCTTTCAGAGATGACATCCAGCTCAGAGAATGGCAGTTCATCCCCACTCCTGCTCTCTCCCCAAACACCAGCCCCACAACCCACTGGCACATTGTCTGTGGGTCAGACAGACCCCGTGGGTGCAGCAGCGGGGCACTGGGGCTGGACCTGGATTCAGAAATGCTGCACTCATGTCTTGAACCCCTGGGAAATGGAAAATGGACTTCCTATTGTTTGCTTGCTTTCCCATCACTTTTCATTACATCAATCCTGCCAGACAAACAAATAGGGAAATCAAAAGGGAAAATGCAAATCACATCCTACTTCCTTGTGGACAGTGCGTGGCCACGGCAGCTCTGAAGATGATCAGCAGCTTTCCCACGCACGGGGGAGCCCAGAAATAACAAGGCTTTGTTTCCTGTCACACTTGGACACACGAGGGGCTCTTCTTACCCAAGGATTTAAACACTGTTGTTTTCTCAGGCAGGGCTGGTTTTGTACCCTTCAATACCTCTCCCAGCTCAGCAAAAATCTCTGCCTGTCAAAAAAATACATACTTATTCAAAATCATAACATCCATACACGCGTTAAGAGAAAAAAACCTTTTTTTCCCCGAGTGACTTCAGAATAAAGAAATCATCCAGTTCTGCATGCCAAAACTGATTCTTTTCCATGGTGAAGCAGATCAGTATTCAGGCAAATAATATAGAAACTGGACAGAAATCAGAGAAGCAGAATGGTTTCCAAAGAAAAACAGCTGGCACACTTTCCTCAGTAACTTGTTTTGCTTGTTTTTGTTTTGTTTACAGTGGATAGCTTGTTACTTATCCAACAAAACACATGGGATCCCACACACATTACCATATCTGAAGCTCTGATATGGTAAACTTCAAAAGTGTAAATCACATTTGCTCTGCAGAAACATTAGAAGAGAAAAAGAAAATGCCATTGAACCTAAAAGAGTCCCTGCTGTCAAATTTGTGCAGAACGCTGTCTGCTCAGCTTGTGTGGTCCATTCCCCAGAGGCCTGATGTGTCAATCACACTGAAATCTTATGGGAAGAAAGTTACAGGTTTTAATAAACAGATTTGAAGAATATTTAAGACAACCAAACACTGTAGGTCTTTCAAAAAACAATACATTGTTATCATACCCAAAGGCCTATGCTGAGCACCTGCTACTATAATATGGTGTCATGCAACAGTAGATACAGAGGCTGCCTGTTTTAGTCATAGACACACAGAAGCATCAGTTTGAAAGCAGTTTATCCTTCAACCTTGTTACTGGAAAGTGTTAACAACTACGTTTGATGCTCTAAAAAGTTTCAGTGCAGGACATCATCACTATCAACTCATTTCAAATGCAAGCCAATTGCCACAAAAATAAAGCCCATCAATTACAGAAGTCTTACCCCTGATAATATAACATCTCCTGATTCTTCAGAAGCTGCCTCCCTGGAATCCACAAAGAGAGAGCAATTCTTCATCAGTTTGTCATCCAGTTCTCTCCAGTTTGGTCTGCATGCTCCAACAGCTAAGACAACAAAAATTATAAACTTGGGAGCAATGTTTAAAACAAATTCAAACACCATTTTGTTCAAAAGACGTGTAAAATAACAATGGACATTATTGTGGAAATGTAATATACAAAAAATCCAGTGTTAGCCATGGAGATGTGTTGATTGATAAGACAACAAAAAAAATATTCAATAATTGATTTGTAAGTAAAATATCCTTGTCAACAGACTGAGTAGCTGAGGCATGAAAAAGTCCTCTCCCTTTCTCCATTACCTTGTCCTTCATCAGATCATTACCAAATGCCCTGAATTTCATACACCTTTACTTGATTCAGATTGTGTTTACGTGTCTACAGAGAAGAGTAAGACTTGAAGAATCCCTCAGTTATTCTGAGATGGATGTGCAACAAAGGATGTGCAACAAAGCCTTGCACATGCAGACAGAGTATTCGGCGATCCTAATGAGGACTTCTAAAGGTGTGGCTTTGGATTATTTCCTTATAAATAATACAATCCTCTTATAAGCAGTACATGTTGAACAGACTACAGGTTTTCATTTATCTGGAGAAACTGAAAACAAATCAAGGAGTTTAACTTCTTACACACAGCACAAAGATCAATATCCACTTCTTATGGGCTCAAAAAACAAACAAGAAACCCAATAGAAAGCAAAACAATCACACAGTTACACTGTAACCAAACTTTTTAAAGGGTTCAACTCTAACGGAAAAGTAAATTCCACGTTGCCCAAATGCCTCAATGAAGGGTAAAAAAAAAGGCAAAGAAAGGAGGGAAGTCTCTGTGTCTGTGTCGCTTCACTGAATCTGGACCTTAATTGATTTGGGTTGTATTTCTGGCTTCCATGCCATGACACAACACAGACAACAACTGTCAATGACAAAGGACGAAATTGAGGACACAGAATTGCCTTTCAACAGATGTTGATGCCAAGCAATGATAATAAACACATCCTGTACACAATGAGAACACAGCCTACCATTGATGTGGGCACCTGGCTTTACCCAGGCCCCAGACAGGATGGGTTCTGCTGCCATGGTGACTGTTACAATCACATCAGCCCCAACAACGGCCTCCTGGGCAGAGGAGCAAACCCGCACGGGACCATGGACAGAGCTGGCAAACTTCTCTGCTTTCTCCTTGCTGCGATTCCATATCCTGACCTGCAAGGGGAAAAGGAAATGAAAACAGACAGA